TATTAGTCTAATTAAACGATATAAAATAGTAAATAAATTTTTCTATTAAAAATATAAACTAAAATAATTTTTTTGGTTTACTTTATTATTAAATATATTTTTATATTAATCTTATATAACTTCACATAAGTAGTATAATACAAACATTCAATATATAGTTGTAGAACAAAGTTTAAGCATATATATTGTGTAGGTATGGGACGAGGTGAATACTTAGATACCCATAACTACACTCATCCCCATTAAAATTTGCGAGTGTTTACCTATATCTATACCCGTACCCATGTAGCGGATAAATACCCTACCCATTGTGGGTAAATTTTTTGGTTGCCCATCGAGTACTTTATCCATTGTCATCCTTACTGTGACTATGCCAAGGCTGTTTAGGATTATTTCATATTCACTGACTAGTAGGTTACTTTCTTTAGTAGTGATATTTCTGATGGTTAAGGCTTAATCTCTCTAACCAGAATCTTAGTAAATTTTTTTATTGAAAAATTTTATTTGGGTTTATTGTGTGAAATCTCTGAAAGGAAAGAAATAGTTTTGTGTTTAATAACCTTTCAGCCCATTCTGAGGTCCTTATTCAAAGAATTCTCTCTTATTTAAGGCCTGTACAAGTTGTCATGATAATCTGACTGAGTTTTTTTGTTTTAACCAGGTTAAGGACTAGGTTTGTAATAGATGGATTCTTTCCTACTCATCAATGGAAGCTTAATGTTGATAGGGCTATGTCTCTGTCAAGTAATATTGTTGCTTGTGGGGGATCTAATTAGAAACACTCAAGGCCTCTTCATTGCTGGTTTTAGCAGGAAGTTGCATCCCTATTCTCTTGTGGAAACTAAACTCTAGAGTATTTTGATGGGGTTGGAGCTTGTTTCTCAGCTCGACATCAATATCATATGAATAGAAAGCAATGCTAAAGAGGCTTTGTCCTTCATCTTCAATGTCCAAAATGCTACCCATCCTTTATATAATTTAATTGACAGGATTAGGAAGATAGTTCAGCCTATTCAATTTGTTAGATTTAGTCATGTTTATTGAGAAGCAAAGTAATGTACAAACCATTTAGTCAAAGGAAGCTTAGATAATTCCTTGTTGTCTTCCTGTATTGTTTTTGCGCCTAATTCCCTTCTCTATTCCTTTGTCTTGATTTTTTGGGCAAGTAGACCCCTAGGTTAGGTCACTAATTATGTATTTTTGTATATGGACTTTTAGTCCCCTTAAATAGCAAAAAAAAATATATATAAAATAATAAATCAAATTTTTATCATCTAATTAATACTTAACAGAATTTAATTAACGATAAAAATTAATTATAAATATTTTTAAAATGTTAAAAATTAAATTCTAACAAATTTATTTTTTAAATAATTTTAAAAGATAAATATATAATTAAGCTTTTTTAAAAATCGAGTATGCTTTGAATGAAAAGTGTGAAAAGCAAATTAACACTTGTCTATTCAAATTACTGTTATTATCTTGTAAGTGGAGTTGAACTTGGTCAAAATTGGTGTGAATTTTTTTCCCATAAAAATGCAGCAAAGGATGTGGCATCCAGATGGTCATCTAATTTTGAGGTGTTGTTTTCACATCATTGTTTTTAAAGGTGGCTAAGTCTTGGAAGGAATTTTCTGTTCCCACCTTTGAAAAGGAAGAAAGGATAGAAATTGGGATTTGACTATGTTAATTATAATTGATTTAATTAATGTAAATTCATGTGTCGTGATTAAATTTGCATTTAGTAAGTCAATGCATTTGAATTATTAATGTGATTCGAGTGGTCCAATTTGTGATCGTTTAATAATTCCCACTATACTGGTTTGCACTTTGCCTGTTCATATTAACTTTTGAAAATCACATCTCACCTAAATTCAGTTTTTTAGATAAAGCAAACGTTGACACACTTTTAAATGCACATTTATGAGAGCCAGTTTGCTATGACTTTTACTTCTTAACATAGCACATGTCAGACGTTTTATTCATCAACAACTTGCACTTATATTCGATAAACGTTTTTTTAGTGTTTATTTAATATATATATATATATAGATAGATATATATATATATATATGTATATATATATACTTTATTAGAAATTGTATAATTTGATATATTAATAACATTCAATATTATAACTTTTAATGAAAATCATTTTAATTTTTTTCTTTTATTAAATCTCTCAAATTACTTTTTTCTCTTTTTTCATATTAGATATTACTTGAAGACATTTCATTGGTTTCAAATTATTTATTATTTATAATATAAAAAATACTAATTACCTATTATTTAATTATACCCTTATTTATGGAAACGACAAACTACTCAATCGTAGATAAGTGCATTAGAAGGTGAAGTGTAGGAATTGAGGTGCGCGAATCTGCATTACTCGTATACATAAAATTATTAAAATAAATATGATCCAAACTTTGTTATTTTATCACAATTTTGATATGTACTTGACTCAAAGTGTTTTATTTTTTTTTCAAATATAATGCTATATATAAGATATTTTAAACTAGGTTAATGTTATAAGTTTTTTTTTCATATTTTTTTTAAAATATCCTTGAATAATTAATAAAATAATTTTAAATTTAGTTAGCATGTAACTTACTACAATAATTTCAGCATTTTAATATAGGTATTTTAGTGGGATCAATTTATTTTACTATAATAATTGGAAAAGTTGAACTTTTTCTTCAAATGTGTAGATTATTACTAAACCACATCTAATATGAATTAACAGACTTAAATGAATAAAATATTAAATATATTTTTATATTTCTAAGATGATAAATATATTCGTTCTTTTCATTTAATGCTTTATTTTATAAAATAAGAAGAAGATTATTAATAAAATATAACAAATTTTTTAATAAAATGTTTAGCATTTATTAATTTTTTATTGTGTGACTGAATGCACATTAAAATAATTATTGATAAAACTGTTAATATTTATTAAGAAAATAACGTTTAACGAAAAAATTAACTGAAATATTTAAATAATATAATTTTTTTACATTACCACTTAATTATAAATTACCAATTATAAATGTACAAACTGTTTGTGAATATAAAATATTTAAAATGTAAAGGATTTTCGCTAATATTAGTATGTCTTTGTTCTTTTAAACTTTCATTGATTTTATAGTTTTTCTATTCCAATTAATAATTTATGGTTATGTCCCTTGATTTTTCCTAAACAAATTACACCCATCACTTTTGAAATATAAAATAATAATATTTTTTTTTTATTTTAAAATTTCACTTTCTTCTTATGAAAGATAAAATATGTTTCCCTATCATCAATTTTAAAATTCAAAGATAAATATTTTGGTTAAAGTTTCAAAAACAGTAATACAGGTTCTTTAAACTTTATTTTATTCTTCTCTATAGGCCCAAAATTAAGTGTATAGAAAATTAGTGGATTTTGTAGGACGTAATCAAAATTAGAAGATCTTCAATTCGGTCATTTAAAGGTATGTATGATTAAATAAGTCTTTCTAAGATTTGGATCGCCAAATATAACATTTAAACATTTGAAACATTAGTCCTTTTAAGTTTATGTCACTAATTTAATTTTTTTTGTCATCACTTTAGTCCTTTGTAAGCATTAATTTGGTGAAATTATGTATCTTTTTTCTTAAAAATTTAATTTATCAGTAAGTTAAAGTTTTTTAAAGACCTGATTTAGTATTTTAAAATAAGTATACATTTAATTTACTAATGACAAAACAAAATTTTAAAAATATGAAATATTAGAATATGTTATAAAATTGAAAGACGTAAAATTTTGCATGATTACAAAATTAATCAAATATAATACACATACAAATTAAGTCTTCTTAACAAAAGTGTTGTTTACATATATAATGTTGTGTTAAAAAGATGTAAATGTCAAAACATAAACCTTTTTAAACATCATGTTGTGATAGATAGAGAAGAATAAAAGATATCATAATTTGAAAAACAAATTAATTATAATTAATTAAAGAAAGGATGGTGAGAAAGAGTATTTAAGAATAATATAAATTTTGTGAAGAAAATGAATGAAAGTGATGGATTCTACATTTTTTTTATTAGAGAAAACATGTTTCTGTATGAAACTAAATATGTAATTATTGAAAATTTTGACTGAAAATACTGCAATAATATATTAAGTTGAAGTAACTTCCCATAAAAAGATGAATAAGAAGTAAATTGTTGCAACAAAGAGAGTATAATAAAAAATTTAAGCATTGTATTGCACACCACAGGTTAAGTTGAAATAACCTCTCACAAAACAAAATATAATTAACAAACTCGTGTTACACACCTCATTTGTAACAATGAATGAATTTAATTAAATAGAGAAATAACAATGAAAAAAAATAAAGTAATATCTAAATTTATTAAGAAAAACTGTAATATTTTTAGAAAAGTGGTTTAGCCAATACTAAGATATAATTAACTATACTTAAATTATATTTAATTTCATTAAGGTCATCTTTATGCTGCCTATGATTATCATAGAAGAAAAAGAATAACTTTAATACATGGTTTAGTGTATTTAATGCGTACTGAAACCTAGGGAATATTGGATTTGGGTACGGTTGACAAAATAAAATACACATCATTAAGAGGTTACATGAAAATAAAAGTAATTTATCATAGAAGTGCATATCAAAATTAATTCCTAAAAAGTTTGGATAATATTATAAATCATTTCGTACAACGTTAAAAGGTTTTCTTAACTAATAATTATGTAATAATTAGTGTATGTCAACCGAGTAACATGAAATATATTACTCATCCATTTCCTTCGTTGGATTAACGAAAAGCAAATGCAGCAAAGTACCTTTGACACTTTCTAGTTTCTACATTACTTTTAGCGATACACAATTTCAAATTGAAAGCTAGAGCATGAAAAACGATAAATAGAATGCTGAACGACCTTGAATGACTTAGCTATTGTTTTCGTTGACTCTATCAACTGGGTCATCGACAGTTTTTATACGGTAATGTGAACCAATATTTGCGCCAAAAAGAAAAGAAGAAAGAAAAGAACTCATGTCATGTATATATGAGATGAGATATCACCTTTCTTTGCGTTCTAATCAGCACAGTTATGGCGTCCTCTTTACACAACTGTGTTTTTGCTATTCTACTTTTGGCCATAATCCAATTTAAAACCACGCATGCGAACTCCCATCATCATCACCACCTCAAATCTCTTCACTTCTCTTTGTTTCAACACGAGACTATAAACAAAACAGGATATATCATAGTGAATGGTATAGAAGGCGGGCCAGGAATCACTGAAACAACAACCCCTTTTGGCACCTTGTTTGTCTTTCAGGATCCTTTGACTGTTTCAGCAAACAGATCCTCCAAACTAGTTGGGATTTCAGAAGGGACTTCCATTACATCAAGTCTTGATGGGCTTCAAAGCACCTCAGTTGCCAAACTGAGTCTCAGTTTGAAGCACCACAAGGGTTCTGTTTCTATTGTTGGTGGCACAAATAATGTCAAGCCTTCGGATTATCCAGTGGTAGGAGGTACTGGTGATTTCATGTTTGTGCAAGGCTATGTTACATCTTCTCCAGTTAATCTTAAGGGTCCCACTGTTGTCTACAAGATTGAGTTTCATCTTTACTGGCCCCCATATGCAACTCAAGCCTCATGAAGGTCCTGGACACTTGATAATACCCCAGTTCCAATGGGTCTCAATTTTTCCTTTTGGTTTCGGAAAATACATCAGCTATTTGCATCGTATTCTAAGATTTAGGGTCAACAAATCTTATTTGCAGTGCCATTTGCTTGTCTCCTTATTCATGTAGCTAATCCTCCATTTACTTGTCTGTTTGTGCCATTATTACTTGTTATTTTAGTACGGAAATAAAGATTGTCAACAATCTGATTGTTATCCTTAGCTTTTAATAGATTCAGACTTCAGTCAACACAACATGTATTTCCTTACCATGAATTTGGATTTCTTAATTGCTGGATGTTCCGATTGATCTAAAGTTTCTAGTAACAAACGATAATAACTAATAGAACTGAAAATGGTAGAGTAGAAAGGTTCCCAGCACACTTGTTTTAATACACCTTTATTGGATGAAATTTATGTAGAACTAATTAAATGATGTGAATCTAATTTCAAACTTGGTAGATCCCACTTATTGAGTTTCACACAAATCATTTGTGTGAAAAAATTGTTAATATGTCGCTTGTATTACTCGTATTAGAATTATGAAAGTAATAACAATTCAAGTGGCTGCAGCAGATTAAAAAAAATGAGAACAGCGCAGCAAATGCAAAAAGAATGAATTTTCTTAAAAGCATACAAAAGAATCAACTAAATATGGGACATATAACACCCGCATATACATATAGAGGAAGGCAGAGCAAAGAACTTGCCACACAGCACCAATCGCTGTAATGTAGATATGAAGCAATTTTTGAAGCTGTAATAAGATATGCAGTATGCTAGGAGCCTTATGCAAAGATTGAATTTGTTGAAGAGATCTAAATGTAGAACTAAGGCTCCTGCAGGTCAGGCCTGTTGCAGAAGCTGGACACTTCCGGAGATAACTTTTAATTGCTAGAAGTGATCTGTATAGAGTAGTCAACACCGGGGCTTGTGTAGCCGAGGTCTGTTGCAGAAAAGCCGGCCGTTGGCCCTCACAAATGCTGCTATACCGACACTAATGCTTGCCCACATTAGCGAGAAGAATAAGTGCCGAAAATCATATCTAACTGCAGGAATGAATCAGAGATTGCCATGTAAAAGCCATAGACTTCAGATCATATAATACTAGTTTAGTAAAATAACATTTGGATGGTGGTCACACTTTCTGTAACTTAATTGTTGTAATGAGTTTTTACATATAAATTCTTACCTACCACTTACATCTGTAAAAATCGCACAGAAATTCTTGTAAAATTTCACATCATGATATGGCTTTAAATTATCTATTTAGGAAGCTGCATAAAATGATTACTTGTCCAAAATAATTTGAAGCAACCACACAATTTAGTGAAAGATTCTACTCTGAAGTAATGAAGTCTAAACTCTCATTATTCTACCCGGTGCCTCCATCTGGTTAGAGTATCAAGGAGAAAGAAGAAAAGAGCTGATGGAAACAGGAAGCAAATAATAAATGATTCCTCAAATTTATCAATTGAACAAAATGGAAAAGTGAGATCAACATTACCCTGGGGTCTGCTATTTTTCCCTTACCATTGAGAAAATGAGTGGAGAAAATTGAACAGAATGCCAACCACTACAGGTTTCACTAGCTCGCCTCCTATTTGACTTTTCTAATCAGAATGAAAAATTGTTTTGTCTCTTTTTGGCCCTCCATCACCTTACAAAAAATCATAACCCTGATACCAAGATCTTTGTATTCAGGTTTTATGGATTCAAGCCACACACTTCCAAGATCCTAAGTCAAGTGTGCCATGCTCATGGCAATATTTGTTAGGTAACTGTTATGAAGTAATGCATAACAGTCATTCCCTACAGAACAAAGCCATTCTCACTACGATCATTATGTTTTAGGAACATTGTTCTCAATATATATCTTGGTAGTTTTGGAAAGCCTAAATTATTTCTTACATGCAAATGATGTTTATATAAACTTGGTATCTTTAATTGAAAAAAATGGGAAAAGAACTCTATAAATTCACAAAACACCCAGAACAGAATACACACATTGTAGAACTTTGAGGGTCTGCACCTCTCAATGCCAAAAGGCCCTAATTTCCTCTTCCAAATCGCATGATATTCCTCTCTAATCTCCCCTCTTATTTATAGGCAACATGCCTTATTCAAACTAACTCACCAAACTAACTGAATCACTAATGTAACTAACTATTTGATAACTAAGTAACTTATTGTACCTAACTACTAATGGGGGTTAACTAATAGATGTGAAACACAGTAATGTATTTGATGGAGTATGGTTGAAGTATAATGAACAATTAAGACATTGTTTGGAAGTCTTGAGGGAGAGGGAAGGGAAGGGTTTGAGGGGGTAAGGGAGGAGAGGAGAAGGGAGGAAGAAGGGTTAACAAAAAATCTCACATTTAGGGGAAACTTAATAACACGAGTTTAAGAGGGTTTATAAAAGCTCCCTCTCACATTTAAAAACTCTGAAACAAGGGTTGTCATCAACTAAACCTCTTCCTTCCCTCACATACCCTAAAATTAACTCTCAAACAAAGCCTAAGTAGTTTTTTTGTTGAAAAAAGGTATGTGATATACATAAGTTTATACCATAAGTTTTTTTGTTGAAAACTGTATGTTTTGAAAACTACCTGGAGTACTAATTAGTAGTTAGGTATATCAATGTTTTTAACCTTTTTAAGGACAGGATAATGGATGTAACTTGTAAATGAGGGGATTCAAATCTTGTGGCATTTTAACTAGTTCTCCCATTTAAGGATTATTCAGTTGCACAGCTCTAAGATTCTTTCACGGATTGGTACTTATTACTAAGCAATTATCTCTATTGTCCCTCTTCTTCTCTCCCTTTGTATTCTATCTCTCACTAAACTTTCCCTCATTTTCTATCCTCTGCAGTTTCTCTTCTCCCTTCTCCCTATTGGGCATAGGTGACACTCTACCTATAAAAGGTGAGATAGGTGGTTACAAACCTCAGGTCACTCAATATTTTGTGTACGTGCATGCAGTTGAAAAAAATAATTTTTTATAGACTTCAGGTGTACTTTGTATCCTTCAGCTAAAACAACAAAGTTAACTCACCTTGCCTCAGTGACATGGTTGCAAAAAGGAACCCAGTCAAAACCAGACCCAAAGCCAGAGGAAATGACTGCAATGATAAGCAAAGTGAAGTTAATATCTTAAAGTGCAGATGGCATTCTTCAAGCAATTCTGACAATGAACAGCAGCACACCAGAACAATATGGAAAGAAAAATAATCATTAGACCTTCAACACAAGGCAATGGTGTAAGTCATAGTCTGGCCACATAATCACTTAAAGATTCTTTGAACAAGTAACAAGGTTACACATTTTAATGTCAAAGTAGAATCAGTTCACAATTAAGCATGTACTATTTGTTTCATGTGGTGTCTGTGCTTGATAATTGCTTGGTAGATCATCTGTGTATCAAGTCTGTTAAGTTGTCCACATCAACAAGGAATATGGCAAAATGACTTAAATACATGTGTGGCCTTAAACAGTCACCCCCCATGTTGGTTTGGATGATTCAGCTGAGCTCTATTATACAACATTATGGCATGATCTATAGTAAGATAGCTCGTGAACTTGTAGTTTACATGGATGATATCATGAATGAATTCAAAGATTGAAGCACTGTTTGTATTTCCATTTTGAAGCTAAGAATTCAAGTTGATTGAAATACTTTCTTAGGATTAAGGTAGTTTAATCAAAGTCTAGTATGGATATCTCACTAAAAGAGTACACTTGATAATTTGGAAGAAATTGAGATGCTATGCCACAAACCAGTTGGTACTCCTATCAAATCAGGAAAGGGCCTTTTCCGGACCTAAGTAGATATTAGAGACCGGTTAAAAAACTAAATTATCTCAAGTGATTCTAGACTAGACACATCTTTAGCTATCAAATTTGAGTTAGTTCCTTAATTCTCTATGTGATGATCATTGAGATGCAGTAATCCAGATTTTGAATTGTTCTAAAAGAGGGTAAGGATATGCAAATAGAGAACATGCAAATATATTTGCTCATTCAGATGCCGCTTGGGTTAAGTCTCCTAGCAATAGAATGTATTGAGCTAAGGTTCTCACAAGAGGTGAAATCATATGGTTAAAACAACTCCTGAAGTTAAGATTGTGTGATATTGAATTTGAAACCATGAAGTTAATTTGTGATTATCCAGCAACAATTCACATTGCTTCAAATCTAGTCTTACACAAATGAACATAGATAAATAGATCCTTTGTCATGTCATCCATAAAAAGATTATCTTTAGAGAAATCACTACTTCATTGGCAAACTCTAATGATCAATCGGTAGATATTCTTACTAAGCCTGTACATAGTACTAAATGAGTAACTAGTTTCAAAGAGAATTGGAAGTCAATATTGTAGGAAATGCTTTCTTTTATTTATTTATTCTAAGTATGTTGAGTGCTGATCACTAATGCATTTTCATTAACAAAAAGTCAAATATTTCTCTTTTAAATCTCAAGTATTCTGTCCTTGAGGGATGTAAGCTGTCTCCAAAAAACTTGTATTTCAACTAATACGCATAGTCGAATGAATTTGGCCATATGTCACAAAATTTTTATGTATTTATATAGTATACTTTCAAATAACTATTCCAAAACCAAAATAGATGCTCAAAACGTCAATCTGAAATTCCATCTAAATTGAACTCACAGCAATAGCTTCAAGGCCTCGATTCTGAGAAGAAGGAGCCATATCTCGGTTGACAGAAACTATATAATGTCCTTGCAGGAGATCAATTGCATCCTTTACATAAACAAAAATTAGTTACAAATAAACTGTAATTTCTTTAGACCAACAAAAATGATAAATAAATTTGATCTAGAAAAGTTTGGAACTTCGTTCAACTCTAGAACTGTTTAAAAGCTAGGGAAGAAGAGATAATGGATAAATTTTCTAAAGAACATGATCCAAAACTAAATAAAAATTTAGTATCTCCAACGGCACAATAACTACAACTAGAAGCAAAAACCTGAATAGAACTTTGAAATGGGATGCTTAAGTAAATTCCAACATACAAAGGACCGGAGACATAGATGATGACAACGTATGAGAGCATACAGCAACAAATTGTACCCAATACATATAATGAGGTGAGGTACACAAACCTGCTTTGTTCCATCAGAAAAGTTATTCAAATAATAGCGCATAAGAGCATTCCAACCATCATTCAGTATCCCCTGAATTGTGCGGTGCCCAAATCTGAATCCAAC